GTGATAAGCAGCATCCCTGTCTTACACCTCTACCAATCTCAACGCTGTTGGTGTCTCCTGAATCCAGTCTCACTTTGACTTTTTGCTGCATGTACAGGTTTTTGATTAGTCTTCTGTCTCTCCAATCAATTCCAATTCTCTGTAGGATCCTCATTAATTTCTTCCATTTTACTCGATCGAAAGCCTTCTTCCAATCGATGAAGCAGGCACATACTTCTTCCTTGACATCGAGAACTCTCTCTGCAGACAAGATACCCAAGAATAAATAAGATAAAATTCTGAACGATGTCACTAGAGGGCAATATGATACATGAACAATAGTAAATCCATTTCTTGAAAACTCAGGATCGTCGCTTTGTTCCGGCATCCTCCTGTCACCGGGGCATATGGCGCTGTGCTCCTCACGCCGTTCGAAATGAACGTGTGGACGTCGTGCGCCGGAATGTGGCTCGTCGTGATCCTCACTATACGCTTCGTGTCGTGGGTGGAGACCAGTACGTTCGACTTCGTAGCTACCAGCCACGAGGAGGAGACGGTGCGGTCCTGGAGTGACTCCCTCATGATTATAATCGGGGCCATAAGCGAACAAGGTGCTTACCTCCTAGGTTACAGTCAGAATTTGTATGCATTTATCATCTCTCACGCCGAACCACCATACATTTATTTAATCTTTCGTACTCAGGTACGACAATGGACTCCAAGTGGGTAGCATGGCGCACGTCTTTCTTAGCAGCCTTCATCCTGTCCATGATGGTGAACATTAACTACGGAGCCAGTCTCGTGTCTTCACTACTTAGTCCACCAGTTAAAACAATCCGTACCGCACGGGACATCATTGACAGTTCGCTTCAATTTGCCGCAGAAGACATCTCTTACAGCGTCCCTTACTTCGCAGTAAGCTACGATGCTCTACTTAATACTTACTAAGTCCATGAAAGCTCTAGTCGCTCAGCTAGGCAATATATTTCCCGTCTTTTACGGAACCGTTTTCGATATAACCCGTCATCAGACGCTTAAATGCAATCCACCCCCACACACACCACACTTAAAACCCATTTTAATATTACCTTCCCATCTATGCCTTAGGTCTTCCTGAGCGGTCTCCAGGTTTCTCGTGCTACTCGCTAACCTGTCTAACCCTTTTAGACTTCATCACTTATATTTGATCTCAGGCCTAAGAAAATACATGAATCGCGCATCTTTATTTACAGCTGAACAAGGATCCATTGGTTCAAGAATTGTACCAGAAGAAAATGGCGCCTCCCAACCAGGCCTACTACTCGCGTGACGTTGCCCTGGGCAAGATGAGAAAAGAGCATTTTGTGTTTCATACGGAAGCCTTGAAGGTATTCCCCGAGATCGAAGACACATTCTCCGAGCAGGAAAAGTGCGAACTCAGCGAAGTACTGATTTTCCCACCTGAGAAGTGTTACCTTGCTATCCCATGGGGCTCACCGTACAAAGAACCGTTTTCAGTTGCGTACGTACAAGAAGGTCAAAACATAACACAATCAATGGCTATTATTTTCCTATCGATGTAATATCACAATCATTATCGGTTTTGTTACTCTTATAATTAAGCCTACTTTTTTATTATTCAAAAAGACATTAAGCAGAAAACAAACACCTATATGAATGCATTTAGCATATAATAGTGCCCAGCTATGTACAAATACCAACAATTACAAGCTTTATGGCAGGATACAATTTCGAGGTTCGCTGTGAAAAATTCTATGCATTCGGAATATTTAATAGTAAAAAACCACATACTGAGATTTATAACAAAATAGCGTTACTATTAATTGATAGATTTTGCTAGTCTCGACATTTACACTGAAGGGTTTAAATGAACACAAACATAATTTTCTTCAGAACTTTTATTTGCGCCACATTCATATTTACGTCTGTTCCATCCTGCAGAATGAAGAAAATATATGAAAGGGGCCTCGTAAATTACCAAGATCGAGTATGGAAGTATCCAAAACCATCCTGTTTGATTAAAGAGGAGTTTGTCAGCGTTGATATGGACAAGATTTCTCCTGCATTCCTAATCATTGGTATGGGGATTGTCCTTGCTCTGATTGTGCTCGCTGGTGAAAGGATAGCAAGAAGGTAAACGAAGATCAAATCACGAAACGATAAGCACTGTACACATCTGCACGGTTGCCTCCCCAGTGTCTAAGTATTCCACCAAAGGATGTAGAAGTATTTATACATTTCATCCCAAAATTCAAAAACCTATTTACAGACGTTCTAAAACTTGTTCATTATTTTAAACCCCCAAAATAAATACAATAATTAAATTAAATTTCTTTAATAGAATGTAATTTCATTGCTTAAAACACCGCATTCTATGTTTACCAAAATTACAAACCGATTCTACATATTAATCTTGTAGCCTATACCTTAACTTCTACATTGCCCTATTTAAATACGTGCTCCATTTGTCGATTTTACAATCACTAACCACTGATCAGTATCGAGCATTCCTTAGACAAGAACGGGCACCAGCAATACTTGAATATGTTTTAAAAATTGAAACATAACTAATCCGAAAACGCGTGCTTTCCCCAATATGGTTTTCTATGTGGAAACTTAATTTAAACTGGTCTAGCCTTCAGCTGGATATTTCATAGATGAAATCTGAGAATTTGTCACGTGGTATCTGGTATGTAAAATTATCAGCACACGTTTCAATGAAGTGATCATATTTTGCAGGAAGAAAATGATGAAAATATCAAAGCCAACACAGGATTAATATCAAGCTGCAATACCACGTTTTATACGTTCAACTGATGTTCTCGTGAATATTCACAATGGGCATCGCACTTCAGCCAGCATTCAGTGGATGAAGTGACATCTCTCACTAAGAAATGTCAAAATAGTTTATTTCCTCTCTGTATGTTCAAGAATAAAATAGATATTAGGTACCTAAATACCCAATAGCTACCGGAGGCTACTTTCCAGGAGATAAGGGCGATCCGAAAAAAGAACTCATCACTACATCCAGCATCAAGCTTACGTTCATGTCTTCAAGACGTGGTGCCAAACCCAGACACATTAACCTTTACTTGCATTTGCTACTTGAAAACTGATCTGCTTTAATTCCAAAGAAGATTTTCACCTCAAGATCAACAAAATACGTGAAAGGGCAGTAAAAACACGTCTGTCACTAACGATCCTATTATGGGGCAGTGAAAATATTTTGAGGGCATCTACAGCCGCAACAGACTAATCACGCGTAATGTGCTAAAACTGCCTTTAATTAGTTTTGTTACATGCATACAGACATGAAGGATCAGAATACCATTACGCAAGAGAATGTAAAATAGACAATTTTAATTTTTGCACTTTACTTTCAATCAAAGAATGCAAGTGTAACTGTAAGAATTCACTACAATATGCCATACAATACACTGGGGACTGCGTGAGTAGCTCACACAAAAAGACGTAAATAAGACAAAACCCGTTTTATGTTCCACGATTCTTCTCTTAATACTGATTTACATAATTACAATTGCTATAATAGATATTGAAAGTTTTTGTAGGGATGATAGGCCGAGTTACACGAAATGTATGCACAATTCGATAAATTATGGACTCGATTAGTACCATTTTACTTCGAAATGTTTCCATAAATGCATTTTTCAGTACAGAAATGAACTAGCGAGTTTTAAAACAATAATACACAATAAAAACAATTTACTCAACATATTTTATTAGTATTAAGCTGTCAACTTTTAAACAGGGTTGTGGAGTCGGTACTAAAATCTCCGACTCCGACCCCGACTCCTTCATAAAATCTCAATATGTATTAAAAAGGGTAAAGAAACTAAAATAGTAAATAACACCATAAGAGATTTCATCACCACCACGTGAATCATCAGGTTACTGCTTAGACTTATAACCTATATTTTAATATACGTCTAATGGTTATTGCAGAAATCGGTTGATTTGTAGACAGTTTGTATTCTTAAGGTACCGGAGCCAAAGTTACATAGCATTACTCCCACACCATGTGGCTAAACGCGTCGTTGAATCTCCCTAAGCGTGAGGCCGCCGGCGGCTCACACGATATAGAAATTGTTCATAAGATTTTATATGGAAGTTGGAGTCAAGTCCAACGCCTGTTTACTTTGCACATTACAGTTGCACTGCATTTACAGATTATGTTTAACAATGACGATGATAGATTCTTTCAGCATTGTTACCACAATAAAAAAGTAAACAACGAAATAACATAAATACATTCCAAATAATATCGGTTGTCTTTTTTACATTATCCTAGAAATAAACCATGAAACATAGCTTTGACAAAATTCCATTCTATACATACTTTACACACTAGACAATCTCGTGTTATATTTAAATTGTTAATTCAATTCATGATTTACCTCAAAATGTCTAGGACATTTTATATCCGCTCATAAGTTAGGTGCACTATAAATGGGATAATGATACGTCATAAATTAAAATTTCGTTTAAGCTTTCATTCCTGCAAAACAGAACTATAATGATGTATTTAAATAAGACTCCATTAAAACCACAGTAATGTCTAAAAACTTTAACAAAAATCACAACAGTAATTGTAAAATTAAACAAGAGGCATGTACACAGTAACGTACAACTTAAACAAAATATTCTCAAATATTGCCAGAATAATAAAGTAGAGAGAGCTCAAATGTGTATTTTAACACGTTTCATTTAACTGCGTTATGATATTCGCTCTTCTGGCAACATTCAAAAGGAATTACAAACACATATTTTCATCCATGATACCTATGTTAGAAAGAATGTCCTGATATTTCCACTATATCTTTAAACGTTTCCTTTCCTCCAAGACACAAAAAAAAACTAGTAACAGTGATGAATTGTTCATTTACTTCTGCTGTATCGTAACCACGCACAACAGACGGAGTTTTAGTTACTAATAAATACCGTTTCTTCTTAACTAAGCAATTCTTCAGTGAATTTCACATCATCCACGAAACGATTTCCTGCGCTACAGACAGTCTTCGGCATAATTTACAATTCCCGCTGTCACTGTCTTAAGACAGTCAAGTACGAAATAAGACAATAACATAAAAGCCTGGAAACAACACCAAGAAAGGCAGAAGTGTAAGAGCGAGATGCAGGGATTAAGTATTTCTTATCTTGTACTGATTTTGTCTTCCTGCACCACGGGTTGGCTGTCAGAAGAAACGATACAATTTGTTGAAGAATACTTCACGCACAAACATGTTCGTGTCATCACTGGTTTCACAAGCTCCAAGCATGGTACGGACAGATAAAACAAGCACTGCACTAAGAGTAGTTTTGAAGTTACAACACTTTTCGAAATTTGTAAGCAGAGAAGCGTTAGAACTGTCAGTCAGTCAGGGCTCAAGAAATGCAACTTAAACCTACTTGCAACTCAAGAAAATCCACTCACCGTAGACCCTCATACAAATAAATAATTAAGTTCTAGCGTAAAGTGCTCGTCAAAACAGTCCAACATAAATGAAAATCGAAACAGTTCAGAAATTTTTCTTAAATTCTCCAATGCAAAATGTAATTAAAATAAGTTTATCAGTCCTCAACTTACTTCATGCGGACAGAACTGTTTTAATAGGGCTCAGAATGGTTGCGACAGACGCGAAAACATGAGGTTATGGCCTACATAAGTCTTAAATGACCAGAGGGGAATTAGAACTCACGCCCCCTAGTGTTCGAGTGGTCCAAGACCCTACACGTGTAGACCACTCGACCAAAAATTTGAACAGTATTTTATAGATTCTAAGTTATTACATATTTGCTTTTGTTCTAATTTGAAACAGACACCTTTCTGCTGATGAAGAGCCTGATGTCAGCAGGTAAGTTCTGGATGGTCTTCGCAGATCCGGAACAACCTTTGTCTAAAGCCATCGATCCAATCATTAAGCGATCATATAAGAAGTTCGGAATCTTCGTGGACTACGACTGTCCACAAGGCAAGGAATATCTACTGGAGGTACGTTCATGACGCATCCACCAAGGACACTAGACCATTGCCCCACGCATTCTTTCTTGACATACATTTAAACATTTCTTAAGAATCGCTTACTCCTTTAAAAAAACTCTAAAACGGTGCATGGCATGACAATAGATAATTGAAAACTATGCGAACATAAAATCTCTCTTTTTGACAGAGATAACTAATAAGCCACTAAAGTCATTCATGTGATATCTGGCAAATTAAGGATAAAATTCTGTTTGTAATTAACAGTCACAATCAAAGCGAAGGTTCGAATGGTGTATGACGTTATGTCTGCCAAATTAAATACAGAACCTGTATACGATTAAATCTAACACGTTCTATATAAAATATAATAACACAACTTAAAAACAATAAAAACATTTTGTAACCTGCTTAAAACTGCAAGCAATAAACTAATAAAGTAAATATGACCCAAGTAGGATTCGATCGTATGCCCATGTGCGCCCAAGTCCAGAACGCTAACTCATGAGCTACATTACATTTCGTTGCTACATTCTGAAAGTAAATATAACATGAATACAATTTCTGAATGTGCAGTAATCTGAGCAATAGGAATGTAGTCTTATGAGTTCTACCATGAACCTATTACTTTATTTTGGATGTATTATTCCGATATGAGATTCTTTTTAACTTGGCATAAACCCAACCTATAGTTCAGCTTGTTAGCTAAATATATTTTATGACGAAGCAACATTCCATGTCAGGGGTCGTAAATTTCCATAACAGTGAAACTTGCAAATCTTCCAGCTATCTAGAATAATAAACAGAACTTCCAAGGTAAGTGTCTGGTAAGTATCAATACAGAAAACAAATAGAAAATTAAGCTGAAGATTTCTGTCTTCTGGGTTGTTGCGCTGTGTAGTCTGGTCGATGTAAACCAACGTTTCAGAGGTCATACTGCCTCCGTCAGCAGGGCGATGAGTATGAAGATTTCTGTCTTCTGGGTTGTTGCGCTGTGTAGTCTGGTCGATGTAAACCAACGTTTCAGAGGTCATACTGCCTCCGTCAGCAGGGCGATGAGTATGAAGATTTCTGTCTTCTGGGTTGTTGCGCTGTGTAGTCTGGTCGATGTAAACCAACGTTTCAGAGGTCATACTGCCTCCGTCAGCAGGGCGATGAGTATGAAGATTTCTGTCTTCTGGGTTGTTGCGCTGTGTAGTCTGGTCGATGTAAACCAACGTTTCAGAGGTCATACTGCCTCCGTCAGCAGGGCGATGAGTATGAAGATTTCTGTCTTCTGGGTTGTTGCGCTGTGTAGTCTGGTCGATGTAAACCAACGTTTCAGAGGTCATACTGCCTCCGTCACCAGGGCGATTCATCTACCAGACTACACAGCGCAATAACCCAGAAGATAAAAATCTTCATACTCACCGTTGTGAAAACCTCAAATCATACATAGAAAATTATGCTATTCCATAGCTTCGGGGATTCTTCAAGCACAATGGCGCATCCCCCGAATTTCGGTAACGTTGCGCGGCAATTATCAAATGCCCAACTTCAGAATTGGTAATTAAGTAGAAGAGGAACAATTGTTTTGGCCTCTCCGTTCAACCAATCTCAGTCATGTAGACTTTCAGGGAGGTGGGGAAGGTAGGAGAGTTAAGCACGGGACAAACAAAGTGTACTTTACTCAGAAATTTTGCTACAACAGTTAAGCGGAGAAATAACAAAAGCTACTGCCACAATACCAAAAATTCGTAAATTCCAACACAGTAATGATTTATAAGATGGCAATCAATGTCCTAGTAGACAAGTTGGATGTATGCAGGCGTTTCTGTTTATTCCACGCATGTTGCATAGTCTGACCATCACATCCCAGTCATCCTAACTATGATTCTGAAGCTTCTAACTTCTCTGATTTATGGACCAACTTTCACACCCAGGTCTACATAAAACCGATGTCCTAATTAAAGGTAACTGCAAATATATCTTCGATATAACGCTAAATTTTATTTTCCCTAGAGTTCTGCACAGCGGTCCTTGAACGACAGCTTCTTCTGGTTGATATGGAGCAAAACGAAGTACACATCGGACATAAAAACTCTCAACTTAAACTTCGACACAGAGATGACGTGGGTGTACCCTGAAACCGATCTTAGTCATTTTACCTTGTATGATCTCTATAAAATCAACTACAGCTTGCCCATAAATGGAACCCTGGCTGGCTACTGGAGTCCTGAACGGGGTCTCAATCTCATCTTAACTCAGTCCAAATATGAACGGAGACACGATATGAGAGGCACTGTGTTCACAGCTGGCATAGTAGTAAGTTGCCATTAAACAATAATCTGCATAATCCCATACCCCGTTTCCTTCAGCCCTGACTGCCTGGTGGTTCTGTGAGACCAAACACTTAGTAATTTTTTTGCCTAAAACTAAAATTCAACAAAAATATATTACCGTTAATAATAAAACAATAGAAATTCTAGTTAAAGAACATGTTACAGTGGCGGACAGATCGCCCGCCACTGTTTCATCACTAGAAAAAATACAGGGCTTAATGCATGAAGCAGTCTGCTTAGTATGTTTTATAAGTTACATGGTGTCACATTCTTTCGCTTTTCTAAAGTAGGCTATTCTGCACATAACTGGGCTCGGCAGAGTTCATTTAACCAAACACTAGAAATAAATATTTTTCATTGACAGGTAAACAACATTCCGACGGATAACATTAAAGAAGAAATAGTTAAACCAGAGAATAGGATAAAGGACACTATGGCCACTTACAATTACAGAGTGTTCCAACTGCTTGAGCAGTCCTATAACTTTTCGTAAGTTACAGACGCCCACTGAGTGCATTATGTTACTGCAATCTTCATAGTTTAGACCAATTTAGTATCACTTTTACGAGACACAAGCAATAGAGTGCAAATAACAATGTAAAATTCGTCATGTATTACAATCATTCTTTCAAAGAACCAAGTATGTGATTTTCTGGGTCTATACGGTGATAAAACCCAAAATAACAATATAACCTCAAATCGTAAAACCACGTATGTGATTTTTTCAGGGTGATTATTAAACACACTTCGCTATATGGGTATGTGGTTGAGAATGGTAAGCTAGAAGGCTTGACACTGATGTTGAAGAACAGAGAAGTAGATTTCAGCATAACTCCCTCTTTCATGAACAAACATCACTACGAGTGTATGGATTATATGAATGCAAGAACTTGGAAGTACCGGTAAGTATAGAACAGAAAATATGTAGCTATTGTTCAAGTTATCGGTACACGAATACTGAAGCGAAAATATTTTAAACTACGAATATCTGTATGTTTAAAAGAGCGAATGAAAACACTACACAAGTAAGATGGCTGTCTTCTGGGTTGTAGTGCTGTGTAGTCGGGTTAACCAAATTTTCATCACCCTGATTGTGGAGGCAGCAAGGACGTCGGAAACGTCGGTAAACTTCTACCAGACTCCACGGCGCTAGAATCCAGAAGACAGCTATCGTCGAACTCACCGCCGCAAAAACCTCAAATCCTACTACACCTGTAGTTCGGCCGATTGCCCCTCGATGTGCTAGCCGGTGACGGCTGGTGTCAAAAGTCAGATCTTCTCGTAACTGGCATAGTTGCAGTTCATATTAATTCCATTACGTGGGTAACACGAATACTTTTCCTCTCAGCAACGATGACTCGAGAACACTTTCAGGAAACTTGTCTATTGCGCGTGAGAGAGAAGTCAGCGACGGCAATGAAACCGTGATGCACAAAACGCGGTCCACGAGAGTTCTCAACACGACCGTCTTGCGTGCACAGAGATTTATTCAATGCGCGTTCACATCTCTCTTAGTATTACTACCATTAACAGTAATACTGTTTATCAAACCAAGGGATGGAACTCCATTTTATTTAACGACGCTGTCAGCAGCTCAAATTACATGTCGGATAATCAATAAATTGGAAAGGGTTTGGAAGGAAGCAGCCGTGATATAATTTGAGGTCCTTCCCCGACATTCGCCCGCTTTGACAGGAAAACCACGAGAAACCTCGGTCAAGATAACCGATCTACGGGTCTATATTTTAACCCAGGACCTCCCGACCACAAGGCAATATTGCTGTGAATTTGGTTGTGAGGTTCCATTGTGTGGCCAGTAATTGCGTTCATGAACGTAATAAGATTATCACTAATATCAAATACAGTATGTGGAAGCCTAATATTAAACGATATAATGTCCACGGATAAGGTAAAGAAACATTCAGACAGAGCCGGACTGAAATGTTTCATAGATACATATTATGTTCGCAAAGTCAGTTTGAAGAAGCATTTCAGTCAGGACAATGCCAGATGAGTTGCTGTGATTCAAGTTAATCCTAATATATTAAACTCTTAACACGAACAGGAGCCTCGCTTTGTTCCGGCACCCTCCTGTCACCAGGGCATATGGCGCTGAGCTCCTCACTCCGTTCGAAATGAACGTGTGGATATCCTGCGCCGGAATGTGGCTCGTCGTGATCCTCACTATACGCTTCGTGTCGTGGGTGGAGACCAGTATGTTCGACTTCGTAGCTACCAGCCACGAGGAGGAGACGGTGCGGTCCTGGAGTGACTCCCTCATGATTATAATCGGGGCCATAAGCGAACAAGGTGCTTTATCTAAAGTTTATAAACAATGCTGTCCCACAAATTGGTCACCTTCAGCCGCCATGCTGGACGCGAAAGTGTAAGAGGTCGTCTTTGCTTGCTAGCAGTAGAGTAGTCTACAGGATGAAGACGGTTGCCTTCTGGGTTGATGCGCCGTGTAGACTGGTAGAAGTTTACCGACGTTTCAGAGGTGCTTGCTGCTGCTGGATTGACTACAATTATACGTGAGATGCATATCTAGATGACGCGGCCTAATAACGGTGGAACGAGTTGAAAGAGTTCCTCTTCAAATAAGAGTCGCAATTTGTGAGGATACTGGGGTACAAGGGTATTGACTAGATTAAACTGGCTCAGGATAGGGTCCAATGACGATTCGTGAACGCGGAAATTAATATTTGGGTTCCACCGGATTTAATTAGAATCAGCTATTTTGTTTTAAGGATCCTGTTCCGCTCATCACAAAGAAAGTTCATCATCCTTTTTAAATATAAGTTTGCTGGTCGCAGGCGAAGATTATCATTTATGTTATCTGCATAGTTCACCCTTGTGTTGAAATTTAATTTTCGGTACTGTTTAGAGGCACGAAGGAAAAACAAACAATTATGATAACATTAACGCAATAAAATGTTCTTCGTTCAAAATAAAATTTCGTTATAACGCTGCAATACTTTGGAACACAGTGTGAATTAATCATCGCTTATCAAATCCCAGGCACAACGATGGATTCGAAGTGGATATCATGGCGAACAGCACTTCTTGCGGCATGTATCATGTCAATGATGGTGAATACCAGTTACTCGGCCAGTCTCGTATCTTCACTCCTCAGCACACCGATGAAGACAATCCGCACCACACGTGATTTGATTGAAAGTTCACTTCAGTTTGCTGCAGAGGACATATCATATAACGTTGAACTCTTCGCAGTAAGTAAACGCTATATTTATACTGGACCTTCTTTATGTAAATGAGGCCAGTGCTGCTCGAATTCTGTCAAAACAGCACGCGTATGAGCACTTCAAATTAATAACTGGCCTGCTCCTCGCGAACGTTCGTTGCGTTACCTCTACATCGTGTGTTCAAAATTATCAGATTACACGGTGCTATATACCAGAATACAGCCGCCAACTCATTGAAAGGCCATGCCAATTTATTAAAATGTCACTAAATTAGGCCTACTATTACAAATTACTTTAATATCCGTAATCATGAACTACCGTAGAAGTTCTATCAATTCTATCCATAGAATCAATCAGAAGACAGAAAGCGTGACGAACAGGCAAAGGTTTAGGACTGATAAGTAACAAATAAGTTTTACTGGCCATCACACAGGAAATATAAGTCTAATCAGAATTAAGATTCACACACAGCCTGCTTCACGCATAATGATGTCACTTTATTCTTCAGCTCAACCCTGATCCATTGGTTCATGAACTGTACGAGAAAAAGATGGCGCCACCTAACAGACCGTACTACAAGCGTGAAGTTGGTCTTGACAAGATGAGAAAAGACTATTTCGCATTCCATACTGAACCCCTTAACGTATATCCCATGATTAGGGACACATACACCGAGAAAGAAAAGTGTGATCTCACGGAAGTAGAAATTTTACATCCTGAGTACTGTTTCATGGCTATACCATGGGCTTCGCCCTACAAGGAAGCCATCACAATTGCGTAAGTATTAATATGACGAACGGGTCTTCATCATAGCAAACTATGGAGAGATCTAGAGCAAAGTATTTTCTGGAATGTTATAAGCATCTTCTCTTAAAAATACCTTCAGGAAAACTAGCCGCATTTTATTCTCGCACTTTCAAGTGCCACGTAAAAGACGTACGCTCATACGAAATAATTCCAAAAAATATTTATCACGCTTGTAACTGTACACTGTATCCTATTTATAAACTATAGCAGGTCTGTACATAAGATAATAGTGACTTCTTCAATCCAGCCTTTTGAAATTAAAGTTCGACTTATACACATGCATACGCAGTTGATGTCTACCTCTACCGCAACCTAACGAAACCCTAAGGAAAATTAAACGGATGCCACATCAAGCATTGTGATTGATACTTCAATAAACAGGGAGCAAATTATTCAAATGTATCTTCTCCATGAAGTGTGTATAATTTTGTACATTTACAAGCTGTCTTCCCAAGCTTCATACAGAAATAATTTGATCAACTGACTTTCTTTCCAGCGGACAATATTCAGGTCCGCACAAAAAAGCGGTATTTCAAAACGGAGATAAAACAGAAATAACCCATCATAAATTGAAGACAGCGAGATTTGCTGTCCTTTAATCTCTAACAAAGCCATTACCTAAACTTCCTCGACAGACCTCGCAATCCATAATGCCTTAGATTAGCTAAAGAAAAGCCACGTTCTCAAAGATGTATCATGTGTTTTGTGTGTGTGTGGGGGGGGGGGGGAGATATCATGTTGAAACAAACAAGGATTCCAAAAGGGTCGAAAATAATAAAAACGGCGATTTTAATCTCTGGTTTTTATTAAGATCTATGATTACTTCCGAATACTTGGAGGCAGCAACTTGGTGAGCGACTATTATCTTCTCAATAAGGACTCTGCTGAATTCAGTTAATAATAAGTGGAATAAAATTTGAAGCACATCCGTATTAAAACACAGGGTCTTATGCTTAATGTTATAGTATGAGGAAAATAATTCAAGGTGGCATAGTAAATTATCAAGACCAGTTATGGCAGACTCCCAAACCGCCCTGCATGGTCAAAGAAGAGTTTGTAAGTGTTGACATAGTCAAGATTTCTCCAGCGTTCCTGATCATCGGCGCAGGCATAGTTTTGGCTATCATCCTGCTCATTGGCGAAATAATAATAAAAAAGTAAGTAGTTAAAGTTATCATGGCACACCAATGTACTGAAACACAAACATGAACACCATTTAAATAAAACAAAGACAACTAAATAAATAACTAATAACATGGAGCAGAGTCCTTGAAAAGCTGACAGCCGCTCAGCTATCAATAAATTAGACGAAGGTTCATTACCATTTTCACAAAAGCGAGCCACCAGTCCCCCATCTTGAGCCATATCAATCCAGTCCACACCCTCTCATGTTATTTTCCTAATATCCATCTTAATCAACGAATTCTATGTGCTCGTTTCCCTTCAGGCTCTCGGACCAAAGTTGTGCAAGCATTTCGCATCCACTTCATGCGTCCTACATACCCCGCAAATTTCGAATATGTTCGTGTCACGTCGTCAGACTACGGCACAAAATCGATGTACAAGGGAAGCTAAAAAAATCATTCGGAATCGTGGCGAAGTTAAAATAATTTAGAACGATTATAAAATATCAAAACTGCAGTTGCGAAGAAACCCAGATTATATTCGAGAAAAGCTTCCTACCGTGCAGTTCTGAATCTTTTGTCTTCCTGTCTTATCTAAAACGCAAAGATTAAAATATACAAAACCTCAATTTATCCGTTGTTTTTGTATGGGTATGCAACTTGGTCTCTCAAGGGAAGAATCCAGATTGAGGGTCTTAGGAACAGTAAGCTGATGAGAATATTTGGACCTAAGAGAGATGAAGTGACAAACTAGGAAAAAATTCTAGGCCCTTAATTTATACTCTTCACCAAAAACAAAGACAAAATTCGTACGCCTAATATGCTCCCTGCCAATAAGCAGATTCATTGGTCAAACGATTAATAAGCTTGTTCTTCGTTCCTTCAGTGAATGACCCAGTGTACACTATTAACTTTTGACTGTACCCTATCGAACGAATAACAAAAAATATTGTCACGTATGTTACCTCATCACTTGAACCAGAACGCTTTCCGAAATGGCACACAAAGGGACTTGATATGTTGCAGGGAAAATTTAATGAAAGCATCCCAAGACTTACTGCTGGCCAAAGGAGAAAGATTACAACCTGGAATTCAGGCGACCATCAAACACAGAAGGCGCACAACCAACAAGCCATGGATTAATTGATGTAGCAATTAAAGACATTTTTCATTCCCAGATTATACACCTGCCTTGTGTTTAGTGCGTGTCACGTGTATATCCACACTGCACAGAGAATTGAAGAAACACAAAACAGAATATCGACATCAGGTCAGACAACACAGCCTGGAAATCGATTCATCGCCAATCCAATAAGACGAAGAAGTGGCTCTATTTATTTTAAGTTTCGGTCATCCACATAAGCCTACTGGTATTTTCTACCAGACAACAGTTTGGCATGAACCCTTCTACTCTTCAGTGAGAAAAATCAAGAATCACTCTGAAGAACCTAATTGTGTCAAATTTGCTTCAAACGTTCGTCTGACAATCCTATCAGAGACCATAATCGACATATAAGCCTATAAAAATCCTTGTAATGCTTCTTGTTTTCCTCTGTGAAACTGCAGCACAAATTCGTAACGCGTATACAGCCACATCTAATCATACTGAGCTGTGTTAAAGACAGTCAGCGCCAGTTAAACAAAATATTGTACATTCCACAGTTGTGACCTCTCGATCAATGAACTCTGTTTACTAACAGCGATAGATAAGCGACCCCGTGCACCAACAGTTCCTCTCGTCTAGTTTTTCATGTTTCATAGACAGACCATTATAAATCTGTATACTACCGCGTTTCAATCATTCATCGTATTTAAATTGACTTCCAGATCAGCAGTAAACACGCCAAGTGTTAAGCAAATAGGTCATGTCACAAAGATAACGAACTGACACATTTACAATCATTTACATGACGCAAAGTACAGTTACCTCCTTTCGACTGTGAATGTAATGCCCTATGGGTGTGTGTGTACTTTTAACAAATTCACCTAATTATTGACACTTGATACAGTCGTCGTATCACGGAAGCCATTATCACATTTCCTCTTAATTCTTTGTCATCAACAATATCAACTTGACATACATGCGAAATGAGCCGCCATTTAATGTAGAGTCCACACAATCAGGCTTCAGGTGTTTGAAAAACATGACACTTGCGCGTAATCTTTTTGTGCAAAACATTAAATAACAACACGAGAGTGCGAATTCGATAACACTGTTCCAGCTGTGAGCGATAACTTATTACCCACTCCAGCTACGCATGTTGTATTTTACGTTCACAAAAACAGGTCTACGGAGGGCCGCATCGTGGTTTCTGTGATGCCCAGAGTACGAATACATTTCGTGTGTAAAAGAAATTAACTACAGCAGAAAACTGCATAAATGGTTGTAACTGATATTTGAATAAATGAAAGATTTGCATGGCCTTCACGTTGTTTCACATTCTACACAAGAAAGAGAAACCTTAAAAGGGATGCATCTCCATTACAAGACATAATTTCAGGATCATATATTGAGTGGCACTAATAATGATCCTACCTCACAAAATTCGAGGGTGTACCTGGATGGTACACTGGCTGTAGAAAATTAAAAGCATGCAGTTGGGATTGCATCCAATGGCATAATGTTCACACTAAATTTGTGAAAATCGTCAAATTAGTTTTAAAAAACAAGGAGAGCATAAACAGAATGCAGATCTAACAAACACAATTCCTTGCTTAAGAAAAGACAGTACGCTTAATACTAATTTCACGGTTAATGGTGAGATGATTTTCTTTTGTCGGCAACTATATATCTAACTCTTTTAACTTCTAGACGTATTTTACACAACGCCAATGTCGGCTGGACTAGGTCAAAGCCTCTAGGTCTGACATGGATAGGTTGTGAAAAGGACGCCTCTAGTTTAAATATAATGTGACAGTCAACGGAACAGGGTCCTAAGCAGAATCAGTGATGTGCACACATATTTACTTACGTCCATTAAACTTAGAAGCTGTAATTATGACGACCAGACAACAATACAATTTCACACACCGACCGAACTTAAGAAAATTACTTTTCTGTAACACATTATACCAGGTGATTCAAAAAGGACTTTACAACTTTGAAAGTGTATAGAAATTTAATCAGAAAGCTTACAGAATCGGTTGAGGTGTCATTTTGTAGCAAAACAAATCAAGTTTGACTCATGTTGTGCTGTAGTACCGAATTCCGTCACCGCGAGCGCAAGCG